ATAGAGGGGGTATATTTGCATTATCAGTAATAAATACATAGGAGAGGGTGAAGGTCCTTCCCTGGTCAGATAAGCCTTCCTTCCTGTGAGGGGTTGTGAATGGGGTTTGCTTTGTGACAGGTTCTCTTTGAGTCCTCATGCACACGGGACGTTTTTACAGCAGCTGTTTTTGGCGGGTTTTTTTTCTACAACCAGTAAACTCCTTAGCATGTTGTCCTATGTGTCTGTGCACACATAGGCTTTAACCCCTCCCTGCCCACCGGGCACTTCTACCCCCTCCCTGCCCACCGGGCACTTTTACCCCCTCCCTGCCTACCGGGCACTTCTACCCCTTCCTGCCTACCGGGCACTTCTACCCCCTTCCTGCCTACCGGACACTTCTACCCCCTTCCTGCCTACCGGGCACTTCTACCCCCTTCCTGCCTACCGGGCACTTCTACCCCCTTCCTGCCTACCGGGCACTTCTACCCCCTTCCTGCCTACCGGGCACTTCTACCCCCTTCCTGCCTACCGGGCACTTATATCCCCTTCCTGCCTACCGGGCACTTCTACCCCCTTCCTGTCCACCGGGCACTTCTACCCCCTTCCTGCCTACCGGGCACTTCTACCCCCTTCCTGCCTACAGAACACTTCTACCCCCTTCCTGCCTACCGAACACTTCTACCCCCTTCCTGCCCCCCTACCCCCTGCCTACCGAACACTTCTACCCCCTTCCTGCCTACCGGGGACTTCTACCCCCTTCCTGCCTACCGGGCACTTCTACCCCCTCCCTGCCTACCGGGCACTTCTACCCCCTCCCTGCCTACCGGGCACTTCTACCCCCTTCCTGCCTACCGGGCACTTCTACCCCCTCCTGCCTACCGGGCACTTCTACCCCCTCCCTGCCCGCCGGGCACTTCTACCCCCTTCCTGCCCGCCGGGCACCTACCCCCTCCCTTCCCGCCAGGCACTTCTACCCCCTTCCTGCCCACCTGGCACTTCTACCCCCTCCCTGCCTACCGTGCACTTCTACCCCCTTCCTGCCCACCGGGCACCTACCCCCCCTCCCTTCCTGCCTGACACTTCTACCCCCTTCCTGCCTACAGGGCACTTCTACCCCCTTCCTGCCTATCGGGCACTTCTACCCCCTTCCTGCCTACAGGACACTTCTACCCCCTTCCTGCCTACCGGGCACTTCTACCCCCTCCCTGCCTACCGGGTACTTCTACCTCCTTCCTGCCCACCGGGTACTTCTACCCCCTTCCTGCCCACCGGGTACTTCTACCCCCTTCCTGCCCAGGCCAATTTTCAGCTTTCAGCGCTGTCGCACTTTGACAATTGCGCGGTCGTGCAACACTGCACCCAGAAAACTTTCTTTTGGTGGTATGTACTCTCCGCTGGGTGTTTTTATTTTTGCACTATAAACAAAAAAAGAGAAAAAAATTTGAAAAAAAGAAAGTTTTTTGTTTTTATTATACAATGTTGCAAACAGGTAATTTTTCTCCTTCACTGATGTGTGTTGATGAGGCGGCACTGATAGGCAGCACTGATGGGTACTGATAGGCAGCACTGATAGGTGGCACTGATGATGCTGCACTGATATGCAACAATGATGGGCACTGATGGGGGGCACTGACTGGCGGCACTGCTGGGCACAGCTGGGTTGCACTACTAGGCACTAATGGGCACAGTTGGGTGGCATTGTTGGGCACTAATGGGCACAGTTGGGTGGCATTGTTGGGCACAGTTGGGTGGCACTGATCATTGGTTAAGTGCAGCTGATAACCGGCAACTGCATTTACCCGATGATCTGCTGTTGTCATTGGACACAGCTGATCACATGGTAAAAGGCCGCTGTGATTGGCCTTTTACCTCATCACTTGATCAGCTGTGTCCATAGGATTGCCGGGTGCGTTCCCCGGGGACGCGTGGGAGGGGTGCGTTCTGGGAGGACATCATATGACACCCTCCCAGAAGTGGGCAACCGCGCTGTAGCCATTATTCGGTTAATCAGCATTTTTTTTGCTGGAAAAACCCCCCAGAACTAGCGGGCTTCTAGAGGAGTTTTTTTAGCTGTAAAAACGCTCTAACGCTGGTAAATGCGATAAAACACGACAAAATTAAGGGGTTTTTTTTTAGCAAAAATTTTATTTATTTTTTGTGTGTTAAAAAATGCAAACGCGGAAAAACCCAGCTAAACGCTAATGCAAAAATGCTAACAAAAAGCCTGTGCAGGTTGTGTGTGAGCCGTTTCTGCGTTGCGTTTTGCATTTTTGCACCTGTGTTTTTGATGCGTTTTGTGTTTTTTTTTTTTTTTTTTTTCCCTTGTTGCTAGGCAGATTTAAAATGCAAAAAGAGCATCGAAAAAGTGGGAAGAATGCAGCAAAAACGCAATACATGCTATTCTGCAGCGTTTCCATTGAAGTCTATAGAACCAAAAACAACTTTTTGCATTAAAAAAAAAGTCCCCGCCCCTTTGCAAAAAAACGCCCTGGGTGAAAACGCGGAGATGTGAACGTGTCCCATAGGAAATCATGTTAAATGGGCCGTACTGCGTTTCTGCAAAACGCTGCGGAAAAACCTTTAGGTGTGAACCGAGGGTGAGGCTGGATCAATGCTGTTCACTGTACCTGTCAGTGGTCATAATGTTATGGCTGACTGCTGTGCAGTACAAGAATGGTTTAAAACACCTTTTTTTAAAATAAAAAAAAAAAAAATAACAACCAGAGAAAAATTGACACAATTCCTTTTATTGTTTCCAGTTTGGTTTCCTTTTACTCCCGCCCCAAAGTACCGTATAGAACGGACCCCCCTGGGAGCCCTCCAATCACCAGGGGGTACACCTAGCAGAATAGGGGCTCAGTGCTCCCTCTGCCTTACTCCCGGCTGACCCCCATCCACTCTATTGAGCCCCCAGCATGTACTCTGTGCGCCACATCTCCTGACCGCCACCATCAGAGGCAGCTTCACATCACCGGCCCACCTGCCTGTTCAATGCAAAGAGAACCTGTCACGTCTCTTGAAAATGTTGATCAGACCATGGCCTGTGTCCCCCCCCCCCCCCCCACCATATATCCAGTCCTGGTTCTAAATTAATCCAGCCGGCGGCCTGCGCTTATTGTAACGGCCCAGAAACAGGTTTTTCATGTATCACAAGCGGAGTATTGTTATATAATAAATACCTAAAGAAACCTCGGAATTTGCGCTTTTTAATCTCGCACCGCGGCTGTTACAGATATGTAGAGAATTTCTCCGGAGCTACAACCGTGTAACCAACAGACGTTTCTGCTCCGGGGTCACGTGACCACACCTTGGTGTCAGTTATTAGAACAGGTCACCTGTGGAGGGACGGCTGCTGTGCGTTCTCTGCGCTGCCATAGCATTGAGAAGGAAACTCTGCGGACGCACCCAGAGAGCAAACAGCAGGTCTGAATAGACCCGGAGAGACGCTCATTTTCTGTTCTAAGCTATTTTATTCTATTTTCCATTTCATTCTATTCTTTTATTTTCTATTCTGTTCTGTTTTATTCTATTCTTTTTACAATTCAAATTTTGGAAGGTTATATTCTAACTTATACACAATCTTTGCAGGAAATCCGCAATATTCAGCAATATGTAATGTATGTATTCTAAGGGGTGCTGTGCTGGAGTGTGCTGGAGGGTCTAGTAATGCTTTCCTCTGTGGAATCTATTGTTGGTGATGGGGATCTATTGTTTCAAAGTGGGTCCTGTTGTTACTAGTGGTTGATCTATCATTGCTGGGGGTTCCAGGGGGGGGGCAGTTTTGTTGCTGGGACTGATCTACTGTTAAGGGAAGCATTGTTTGCTGGCTGCTGGAGGGTGTATTGATGCTGACTATTGTTGCTGATGGAGGTCTATTGATGCTGGAGTGAATCTGTTGCTGCTGGGGGGGTATTTCATTGCAGGGGGTCTATTGCTGTTGTGAGGACTATGTTGTTGTAGGGGTTCTATTGTTTCTGGGGGGAGTATTTTGTTGCAGGGGGTCTATTGCTGCTGGGGTGGATCTATTGCTGCGGGGGGGGGGGTGTATTTCATTGCATGGGGGTCTGTTGCTGCTCAAGGGGGTATTTTGTTGCAGAGGGCCTATTGTTGCTGGAGGGGTATTCGATTGCAGGGGGTCTATTTTTTCAGGGGGGGGGGGGGGGAGTATTTTGCTGCAAGGGGTCTGTTTCTGCTGGGGTATATTTTGTGTCAGGGGATATGTTGCTTGTGGGGGGTATTTTGTTGTAGGGGGTCTATTGTTTTGTGGGGAGGAGTATTCTGTTGCAAAGGTTTTATTGTTGCCTGGGGGGGGTATTTTGTTGCAGGGGGTCTATTGTTGCTGGGGGAGAGGAGGGGTGATAGTGTTGCTGGGCTGAGGGGGGGTGATAGTGTTGCTGGGGGAGAGGAGGGGTGATAGTGTATTATTTGCTGGCTGAGGGGGGGTGATAGTGTTGCTGGGGAGAGGAGGGGTGATAGTGTTGCTAGGCTGAGGGGATATATATTTGACTGATTTTCTTATCATTGACAAATTCAAGATAAATTACTTGGCACCAAACAAAATGATACTTTGTTCTATATTTTCTAAAATGGCCGATACTGGGAGGTGGCTAGGGGGTGGAACCAAAGGATGGTGCTTGGGGGTGGGTAGGGGGTGGAGACAAAGGGGGACTTGGAAGGGGGGGCGGGGGGAGTACCTGCACCTAAGGCCCTGCTGCTACCTAGTCTTTTATTCTGCACTACAAGTCCTGATGAAGGGGGGCTGGGGGGCCCCTGAAATGTGTTGACTACTCCTGTGACTCTCACTTTGGCAAATAAAATTCAGCTGAACTTATTAAACTTAGTTTGCGCTCTGATTCCTTGACTTTTTGCATAGCTACAAAATCAAGAAGAGAGGTAAATGCAGGGCGACCTATAATCAATCTATATAATCAATCAATCAATATTCAACCTATAATCAATGATGTGTTCAGCGGTTCGCCATTCATCCCATTTTCTGGTTGCAGAGACGGCCTACAAAGATGGCTCCCAAGAGGAAGGCGGCGGCCAAAGCCCAGAGCACCAGGAAAGGCAAGAAGACAAAAGTCAAAGAAGAAATTAAGGAGGAGGAGATTCAGGCCCCGCCCCCTGACCGCTTCCAGAGCGCCGTACAGGCGCTAAAAGCCGCTTCTGGGAAGAAAGGGAAGGCCAAGATAGACTCGGCTTGTTCGCTGAGCAGATGTTCCGGATACGAGGTGAGTGCTGAGCTGTGGGAACACTCCCCAGAGAGCAATCATTTTTAAGCGATTGTAGAACAGCCAATCAGAAGCCAACAAAAAAAAAAAAAGACCACTAAAGTTTATACTGCTTCTAGTTTGCCTTCCCTGGTCCCTCCCTCGATTTTCACCAACATGCTAAATAAAACTTTTACATTTTCATTACGTACCTTAGTTTAGATCCAGTGACACCATCAGTGGGTCTCTGTGCTTCACTATGCAATGCAGGCACATCGTGGCTGTTGGAGGGGGCCGGAAGGATGCTGCCTGAAAAACATCCCAGCACCCCACATCAGTTCTCCTCTCTAAAGCCCTCAGCTCTGATGCAAGCAGTGGGCTGGCTTAATGGGCGGGTTTCAGTCTGGAAGAGTGGGTGTTGCTAGGCAAGTTGTATTTACATAGGTAACGCCCACATGTGATGCTGAGTCTGCATGATTGAAAGCAGTGGGCTGGGTCTTGGGAGGAGTTATGCAAATATCATAATGCTTTGCTAAATGGATGCAAGTCTGGAGGAGTGGGTGTTCCTAGGCAGGTTGTATTTGCATAGGAAACGCCCATATTTGATGCTGATCTCCATGACTGAAAGATTTTTAATTCAATGAATGAAGGGGGGGGGCAAGGGATAGTCAGACTGGGGGAGGGAAGTTCTAGATCAGCGTTTCTCAACCTGGGGGTCGCGACCCCTTTGGGGGTCGAACGACCATTTCCCAGGGGTCGCCTAAGACCATCGGAAAACACATATTTCCGATGGTCTTAGGAACCGAGACACCGCTGCAGTCTCCGGCGATGTGTGGGGAGGGATGATACGCTGCTGTCACCCGGCCACACCTCCGGGATCGCTCAGCAGCTCCGCCTCCTCGCCGCTGATTGGCCACCGGAACTGTAGCTCAGGAGAGGCACACAGGCGGCCAATCACCGGCGAGGAGGTGGAGCTTGGAGAGGAGGAGCCAAGCGGCAGCGCGCGTACATCAAAGAAGAACGAGGGAGCTGCCGGAGCGAGTGAAGAGGAGAGCGGCCAGAGAAGGAAGACAGCTGACAGGTAAGTGAGAGAGCGAGCCCAGGCTGGAGCAGGGGTCAGCAAGGTAAGTATCATTGGTGTCAGTGGGAGGAATAGTGCCCCATCATTTGTGTCACTAATACCAACGATGGGGCAGTATTCCTCCCCCCACTGACACCAACGATGGGGCACTATTCCTCCCCCCACTGACACCAACGATGGGGCAGTATTCCTCCCCCCACTGACACCAACGATGGGGCAGTATTCCTCCCCCCACTGACACCAACGATGGGGCAGTATTCCTCCCCCCACTGACACCAACGATGGGGCAGTATTCCTCCCCCCACTGACACCAACGATGGGGCAGTATTCCTCCCCCCACTGACACCAACGATGGGGCAGTATTCCTCCCCCCACTGACACCAACGATGGGGCAGTATTCCTCCCCCCCACTGACACCAACGATGGGGCAGTATTCCTCCCCCCACTGACACCAACGATGGGGCAGTATTCCTCCCCCCACTGACACCAACGATGGGGCAGTATTCCTCCCCCCACTGACACCAACGATGGGGCAGTATTCCTCCCCCCACTGACACCAACGATGGGGCAGTATTCCTCCCCCCACTGACACCAACGATGGGGCAGTATTCCTCCCCCCACTGACACCAACGATGGGGCAGTATTTCCTCCCCCCACTGACACCAACGATGGGGCAGTATTCCTCCCCCCACTGACACCAACGATGGGGCAGTATTCCTCCCCCCACTGACACCAACGATGGGGCAGTATCCTCCCCCCACTGACACCAACGATGGGGCAGTATTCCTCCCCCCACTGACACCAACGATGGGGCAGTATTCCTCCCCCCACTGACACCAACGATGGGGCACTATTCCTCCCCCCACTGACACCAACGATGGGGCACTATTCCTCCCCCCCCCACTGACACCAACGATGGGGCACTATCCTCCCCCCCCCACTGACACCAACGATGGGGCACTATTCCTCCCCCCACTGACACCAACGATGGGGCACTATTCCTCCCCCCACTGACACCAACGATGGGGCACTATTCCTCCCCCCACTGACACCAACGATGGGGCACTATTCCTCCCCCCACTGACACCAACGATGGGGCACTATTCCTCCCCCCACTGACACCAACGATGGGGCACTATTCCTCCCCCCACTGACACCAACGATGGGGCACTATTCCTCCCCCACACTGACACCAACGATGGGGCACTATTCCTCCCCCTCCCACTGACACCAACGATGGGGCACTATTCCTCCCCCCACTGACACCAACGATGGGGCACTATTCCCCCCCCCCCACTGACACCAACGATGGGGCACTATTCCTCCCCCCCACTGACACCAACGATGGGGCACTATTCCTCCCCCCACTGACACCAACGATGGGGCACTATCCTCCCCCCACTGACACCAACGATGGGGCACTATTCCTCAACCCCCCCCCCCCCACTGACACCAACGATGGGGCACTATTCCTCCCCCCACTGACACCAACGATGGGGCACTATTCCTCCCCCCACTGACACCAACGATGGGGCACTATTCCTCCCCCCACTGACACCAACGATGGGGCACTATTCCTCCCCCCACTGACACCAACGATGGGGCACTATTCCTCCCCCCACTGACACCAACGATGGGGCACTATTCCTCCCCCCACTGACACCAACGATGGGGCACTATTCCTCCCCCCACTGACACCAACGATGGGGCACTATTCCTCCCCCCACTGACACCAACGATGGGGCACTATTCCTCCCCCCACTGACACCAACGATGGGGCACTATTCCTCCCCCCCACTGACACCAACGATGGGGCACTATTCCTCCCCCCACTGACACCAACGATGGGGCACTATTCCTCCCCCCACTGACACCAACGATGGGGCACTATTTCCCCCCCCCCCTGACACCCAACGATGGGGCACTATTCTCCCCTCCACCACACTGACATCAATGATGGGGCACTATTCCCCCCACTGACAGCAATGATGGGGCACTATTCCTCCCCCCACTGACACCAACGATGGGGCACTATTCCTCCCCCCACTGACACCAACGATGGGGCACTATTCCTCCCCCCACTGACACCAACGATGGGGCACTATTCCTCCCCCCACTGACACCAACGATGGGGCACTATTTCCCCCCCCCACTGACCCCAACGATGGGGCACTATCTCCCCTCCCCCACACTGACACCAATGATGGGGCACTATTCCTCCCACTGACACCAATGATGGGGCACTATTCCTCCCCCCACTGACACCAATGATGTGGCACTATTCCTCCCACTGACACCAGTGATGGGGCACTATTCCTCCCACTGACACCAGTCATGGGGCACTACTACTCCCCCCACTGACACAAGTGATGGGGCACTATTCCTCCCACTGACACCAATGATGGGGCACTACTCCCCCCACTGACACCAATGATGGGGCACTACTCCCCCCACTGACACCAATGATGGGGCACTATTCCTCCCACTGACACCAATGATGGGGCACTATTCCTCCCACTGACACCAGTGATGGGGCACTACTCCCCCCACTGACACCAGTGATGGGGCACTACTCCCCCCACTGACACCAATGATGGAGCACTACTAACCCCCCCCACTGACACCAATGATGGGGCACTACTCCCCCCACTGACACCAATGATGGGGCACTACTCCTCCCACTGACACCAATGATGGGGCACTACTCCTCCCACTGACACCAATGATGGGGCACTACTCCTCCCACTGACACCAATGATGGGGCACTACTCCTCCCACTGACACCAATGATGTGGCACTATTCCTCCCACTGACACCAGTGATGGAGCACTACTCCCCCCACTGACACCAGTGATGGGGCACTACTCCTCCCACTGACACCAGTGATGGAGCACTACTCCCCCCACTGACACCAACGATGGGGCACTACTCCTCCCCCCACTGACACCAACGATGGGGCACTACTCCCCCCACTGACACCAACGATGGGGCACTACTCCCCCCACTGACACCAACGATGGGGCACTACTCCCCCCACTGACACCAACGATGGGGCACTACCCCCCCCCCACTGACACCAACGATGGGGCACTACTCCCCCCACTGACACCAACGATGGGGCACTACTCCCCCCACTGACACCAACGATGGGGCACTACTCCCCCCACTGACACCAACGATGGGGCACTACTCCCCCCACTGACACCAACGATGGGGCACTACTCCCCCCACTGACACCAACGATGGGGCACTACTCCCCCCCACTGACACCAACGATGGGGCACTACTCCCCCCACCCCCCACTGACACCAACGATGGGGCACTACTCCCCCCACTGACACCAACGATGGGGCACTACTCCCCCCACTGACACCAACGATGGGGCACTACTACTCCCCCCACTGACACCAACGATGGGGCACTACTCCCCCCACTGACACCAACGATGGGGCACTACTCCCCCCACTGACACCAACGATGGGGCACTACTCCCCCCACTGACACCAACGATGGGGCACTACTCCCCCCACTGACACCAACGATGGGGCACTACTCCCCCCACTGACACCAACGATGGGGCACTACTCCCCCCACTGACACCAACGATGGGGCACTACTCCCCCCACTGACACCAACGATGGGGCACTACTCCCCCCACTGACACCAACGATGGGGCACTACTCCCCCCACTGACACCAACGATGGGGCACTACTCCCCCCACTGACACCAACGATGGGGCACACTACTCCCCCCACTGACACCAACGATGGGGCACTACTCCCCCCACTGACACCAACGATGGGGCACTACTCCCCCCACTGACACCAACGATGGGGCACTACTCCCCCCACTGACACCAACGATGGGGCACTACTCCCCCCACTGACACCAACGATGGGGCACTACTCCCCCCACTGACACCAACGACATGGCACTACTCCTCCCACTGCAAAATTACAGTTATGAAGTAGCAATGAAAATAATTTTATGGTTGGGGGTCACCACAACATGAGGAACTGTATTAAGGGGTCGCGGCATTAGAAAGGTTGAGAACCACTGTTCTAGATGATGCTGGACGTCCTCCAGCCAGGAAAGGAGGCGGAGCTCCATCTGACCTGCCGCAGCTTCTAATGCACATTGTGAGAAGCTCCCAGTGTGCGGTGATATCAGAGGGAGCCGTTTCAGTCCAGGAGAGGAGCCGGCGCACCTGTGCAACACTGGAGGGGAGGAGCCGGCGCACCTGTGCAAGACTGAAGGGGAGGAGCCGGTACACCTGTGCAAGACTGGAGGGGAGGAGCCGGTACACCTGTGCAAGACTGGAGGGGAGGAGCCGGTACGCCTGTGCAAGACTGGAGGGGAGGAGCCGCTACGCCTGTGCAAGACTGAAGGGAGGGAGTCGCTACGCCTGTGCAAGACTGAAGGGGAGGAGCCGCTACGCCTGTGCAAGACTGAAGGGGAGGAGCCGCTACGCCTGTGCAAGACTGAAGGGGAGGAGCCGCTACGCCTGTGCAAGACTGAAGGGGAGGAGCCGCTACGCCTGTGCAAGACTGTGGAGGGGAGGAGCCGCTACGCCTGTGCAAGACTGAAGGGGAGGAGCCGCTACGCCTGTGCAAGACTGAAGGGGAGGAGCCGCTACGCCTGTGCAAGACTGAAGGGGAGGAGCCGCTACGCCTGTGCAAGACTGAAGGGGAGGAGTCGCTACGCCTGTGCAAGACTGGAGGGGAGGAGTCGCTACACCTGTGCAAGACTGAAGGGGAGGCCAGAGATGTGGGGGGGGGAATTAGTCCAGCAGTGAAGGGGTTAATCTGGCACTCCTCTGAACAGACAGAATTTTGCATTAAGTGGCGGAGGGAGGAGCTGGTACACCTGTGCAAGACTGAAGGGGAGGAGCCAGTTCACCTGTGCAAGACTGGAGGGGAGGCCCGAGGATAGATATAGCAAAAATCAAAAAAAAAACAAACAGGTTGGGTGGACCACTTGGTATTTTTTCTGCTCCTAGTCTTCAATGTCTCTGATGCTTCATCCTATTATCGCATCATCCTGCACATGACTGCATTTTTCTTGGTCCTTATTTCAGGTGTTCGAGGACTATGACTGCATGCTGAACCAAACTAACATCGGGCACAACAACAATAAATACTACATCATCCAACTTCTCCACTGCCCTGACAATAAGCCACCCCAGTACGTCACCTGGAATCGCTGGGGCCGTGTGGTGAGTACCGCCAAAGCAAGCAAGGTCCATGAAGACATGGTTTGGCCAGTTTGGTGCTGGGGGACTCGATTGTCCTGCACACAGTAGACCACCAAGGTTATGGATCAGGGGCGGACTGACCATTTGGAAACTCAGGCACTGCCCGAGGGCCCGGGGTCAGTACGGGGCCCCATGAGATGCCCCTGGTACCTTTTTCATAGGCTATTTTGAGTTCGGGCAAGGACACAGGGGCCCCATGATCCCCTATTGCCTGGGGGCCCCATGAGTTGTCACTCCGCCCCTGTTATGGATAACAGCCATGAAACCTCCTCTTCCTACAACAGGTCATCAGTGGTGCCATCCTTGAAGCTACCTGCAACCTGATTGGGTAAACAGAGCTGTCAACCCCTCCAAATGATTGTGTTCAGGTGCACAAGGCCTACTCCATAAAAGACAGGGTTTGATCGGCTCCATAAAGACATGGTTTGACCGGCTCCATAAGGACATGGTTTGACCGGCTCCATAAGGACATGGTTTGACCGGCGCTCCATAAGGACATGGTTTGACCGGCTCCATAAGGACATGGTTTGACCGGCTCCATAAGGACATGGTTTGACCGGCTCCATAAGGACATGGTTTGACCGGCTCCATAAGGACATGGTTTGACCGGCTCCATAAGGACATGGTTTGACCGGCTCCATAAGGACAGGGTTTGACCGGCTCCATAAGGACAGGGTTTGACCGGCTCCATAAGGACATGGTTTGACCGGCTCCATAAGGACATGGTTTGACCGGCTCCATAAGGACAGGGTTTGACCGGCTCCATAAGGACAGGGTTTGACCGGCTCCATAAGGACATGGTTTGACCGGCTCCATAAGGACAGGGTTTGACCGGCTCCATAAGGACAGGGTTTGACCGGCTCCATAAGGACAGGGTTTGACCGGCTCCATAAGGACAGGGTTTGACCGGCTCCATAAGCGGACAGGGTTTGACCGGCTCCATAAGGACAGGGTTTGACCGGCTCCATGCGGACAGGGTTTGACCGGCTCCATGCGGACATGGTTTGACCGGCTCCATGCGGACATGGTGACCGGCTCCATGCGGACATGGTTTGACCGGCTCCATAAGGACAGGGTTTGACCGGCTCCATGCGGACATGGTTTGACCGGCTCCATGCGGACATGGGTTTGACCGGCTCCATAAGGACAGGGTTTGACCGGCTCCATGCGGACAGGGTTTGACCGGCTCCATGCGGACATGGTTTGACGGGTCCATGCGGACATGGTTTGACCGGCTCCATGCGGACATGGTTTGACCGGCTCCATGCGGACATGGTTTGACCGGCTCCATGCGGACAGGGTTTGACCGGCTCCATGCGGACAGGGTTTGACCGGCTCCATGCGGACGTGGTTTGACCGGCTCCATGCGGACATGGTTTGACCGGCTCCATAGGGACGTGGTTTGACCGGCTCCATAGGGACATGGTTTGACCGGCTCCATGGGACATGGTTTGACCGGCTCCATGCGGACATGGTTTGACCGGCTCCATGCGGACAGGGTTTGACCGGCTCCATGCGGACAGGGTTTGACCGGCTCCATGCGGACATGGTTTGACCGGCTCCATGCGGACATGGTTTGACCGGCTCCATGCGGACATGGTTTGACCGGCTCAATGCGGACGTGGTTTGACCGGCTCAATGCGGACAGGGTTTGACCGGCTCCATGCGGACAGGGTTTGACCGGCTCCATGCGGACAGGGTTTGACCGGCTCCATGCGGACAGGGTTTGACCGGCTCCATGCGGACAGGGTTTGACCGGCTCCATGCGGACAGGGTTTGACCGGCTCCATGCGGACATGGTTTGACCGGCTCCATGCGGACATGGTTTGACCGGCTCCATGCGGACATGGTTTGACCGGCTCCATGCGGACATGGTTTGACCGGCTCCATGCGGACATGGTTTGACCGGCTGCATGCGGACATGGTTTGACCGGCTCCATGCGGACATGGTTTGACCGGCTCCATGCGGACATGGTTTGACCGGCTCCATGCGGACAGGGTTTGACCGGCTCCATGCGCGGACAGGGTTTGACCGGCTCCATGCGGACAGGGTTTGACCGGCTCCATGCGGACAGGGTTTGACCGGCTCCATGCGGACAGGGTTTGACCGGCTTCATTCATTTGCCTCCATAGCAAGTTGCTTCCTGTGGGGGCATCCGACAGGAGGGAGGGGCCAGGAGCGCCGGCGGGGGACCCAAGAAGAGGAGAATCTAGGCTGCCCTGTGCAAAACCACAGCACACAGCAGGAAAGTATAGTCAGATTTGTTTTTGTTTTTTTTGTTTTTTTGTTATTTAAGCCTTTAGAATCACTTTCAGCTTTGATTAAAAAAAAAAAAAACATGGAAGTTGATTGGTTTCTATGCAGAGCTGCACCTGATTTTACACTCTCTAGTTTTAATAAATCAACCCGAATGAATTTCCTGAGCCCTGTCTCTAATAACTGACACTGACGGGGAACATGGAAGGAACTGGGAGGGCCTAGTCAGGACTGAACTAACTAGCACTAAATGGGAAGGGAGGTGTAAAGGTGTGTTATTAGGGTGCTGACTATCCTCCAAAAACTGCTCCTGGCCAGTAAATGAACCAGCATTCTCCTGTCCTTCAAGGGGGAGGCCGGCCAGAACAAGGCAAACCATTTCTCGGCTGCAGAACCTGCTAAGAAGGATTTCGAGAAGAAGTTTAAGGATAAGACGAAGAACAACTGGTCGGATCGCGAGAATTTCACGGCCCATGCCGGAAAATACACCATGATCGAGGTGGAGCACGACGAGGAGGAGGAGGGGGGGCAACGGAGAGGCCATGGTCAAGGTAGATGGACTCAGAGTTGGGATTTTTCATGACTTCTTTGTGGTCCAATCAGCAGCCTGGGGCAGGTCCTTGACCAAAGGGTGTTGCCCAGCCACCCGGAGGTCAGAGACCTGCCTGTGTAGGGGTGCTTGGATCACAAGACCGCCTGAAAATAATAATTCACATTTCACATATACTGTATATGTATTGCAAATGTATTTATTTTTTTTTAGAAATGTTTCCATTACTTCCTGTTAGGACAGGAAACAAAATCTCTCCGGTAAAGAAGAAAAAATACATTTTTTGGTGGTGTGGAAGGGTTAGACCTTCAGGCAAGGTTTCAGCTTCCCATTCTCAGGAGGGCAAATCTCCCCAACTGGGTCACAGAAAAATAAAATCTGTAAACCTGCTTTTTTTTTTTTTTTTTTTTTTTTTTTTTTTTTTTTTTGTTTCAAAACATTTAAAAAAAAAAAAGTTCTTGTTAAAAAAACAAACAAATCAATTACACATTCCAAAAAGCAAATAAAAAAAAAAGTCTGTACATTTTAATTCATCTGCACCCTATACAACACATATACAGCAGAGAAGACCACACTGGGTGGCAAGGAGTATACATATATATACAGTGTGTGCGTGTGTTTGTGTGTATATATATATGTGTGTGTGTGTGTGTATATATATATGTGTGTGTGTGTGTGTGTATATATATATGTGTGTGTGTGTGTATATATATATATATATATATTGTGGGACCTCGCTTCAAGTGGTAGAGCTTCTTCAAAGCACACAGCAACTCGCTTATTTTTTAAGGGCCTGTTTGCCCACTTTTATTTAAATGACAGTTCAATAACATAAAGGTTTCCCACGCAGGGGTATCCACCATCACACAAATTCAAATGAACAGTATTCAGCCTCCTGGCTTGTACGCAGTTTTAAGTCTGCCTCCTGCAGACTCTTCCCAAAGTATGGCACTAGCACACAGCTAGTCTGGCTTCCACCTCTCCTAGGTGTAGCCCACCTGACTCCACGGCAGAGACCTTCCGTCTGCCTGGGTGGAATCCTCCTGACTCCTGAACCCTGGTCCTGGCTCTCTCTAAAGGCCTGCACACACCTGTGCAATCAGTCTCCTGGCCTATCCCAAAACCTGGTCCCAGGATTGGAGATTTCATCCCTCCCAGATCTCTTTGAAATCTCCAGGCTCCAGATCCCAAAACAGACCTTACAAACAAAGGAGGAAAGTGAAAAGCCACTTTCCTCCGTATCAAACCTTTATCCTGGAGCCCCTCAACCTGCCTTGTTGAGAATCCAGGGTGACAGATCGCCACACTGTCACATATCCCCCCCCCTTTGTTTTGATCCCGTAGGGGGCAGAACACACAACTTATACCTTCTGGCACCCCTGTGCCATCTCTCACTTACAGGGGTCCAATCTGGTCCAACCATACCTTTCCTAAAGGGGATCTCTACCCAATGACTCCTTTGGTGTCCTTAAGCCCCATTGTCGCTCTGCTATGGGCTCTAATCAGACCTTGCCTACTCTTTTTCCGGGTGCACTTCCATGAACACTTTCTCTCTTGAAATCCTAATGGGGTCCCCCTGGCCTTTCTATCGACCTTTCTGCCCCTTTGCTTCAGGTGCTCAGGTTTCCTAATACCGCTCTCAGTATTACCGTCCCAAGGCTGTAGGGGAACCATTTCTACTGTATTTGTACCAGGACCACCCCCCTGATTTCTTGTACCTCTATCTATCAAACCTGCATGACTCATTACCACAGCATTCAGTTTACCATGAACGGTTATATTCCAGTCAATATTACACCTTTCAATATCTTTTCCAGCATTTGTTAGGACAGTGTCTGTAGAGGGCACACACACCATAGGGCAGCCATCACCCACGTGAACCTCACAAAATGCCACTTCACCTGGTGTCATGCACTCTGCAGGCGGCTGTCCAACCATTTTAACTTTTCCTACAGAACTTGGATCTGTATCCAAACCCGGTACAGATGATCTCTCTTCTGATCCATTTTGCCAGTTTTCATATACCATTTGTCTCTGTATTTCAGGTGTCTTATCAGACCTGCTACATAAACCTCTTTTTGGCCCAATGACCCTGATTTCTTTATGCACATCTGCTTGAACCCTGGTCAGGATCTCTGCTGTTCTCTGGTCCATGCTCGGCCCTTCCATCTCATGTGGTTTGTCCATGGTGCAGTCAACACGCCCTTCACTGACAATTGACCAGCACCATCCTGGACTTAGCAGCAGAAATGCTTCCACCTGGCTGTTAGGAGGTGAAACCTTTGACTCATTTTTCATTTCTCCAAAACTTCTCTCAAATACATTGACAGGTAGTCCAGCAGCATACCCTGATACAACTTTTAACACCATCAACAAATTCAGAAATAAACAACTTTGTTCCCGTTTGATATGTACAGCCAGCCATTCGGTGCTCCACCTAGTGGTACTCCCGCAGTACCAGACCATCCGACGGTGGAGGAGACACCTCATTATACATTGGTTGTACATTCCAAAGTTCAAGCATCTCCTTTAATACTTTGGTTACAACCCAACCATTTGACTCCATACCCAAGACCTTCCTGACCATATTTAGGACACTGGGAATGCTGAGAGACTCACCTGCTGAGACTTGAGAAGCTGAAATTTTTAAAGGGACCTCGTCCGAGCTGGAGATAACCACAGCCTGGTGCTCCACCAGAGCGCTGCCATGTGCTTAGCTCACTCTCAACATCTCAGACTCAGCATCCACAAGCTGCCCCTGATCATTCCCAGTGACAACATCATTTTCACATTCCATGCCAACATCACTTTTGTGGGTCACAGACAAAGTCTCTGCTGTATACACACCCTCATCTATAGGCCGTTCTATAGACCCTCCTGCTGGCACAGCAGAAACAGTGTCCACCTTATTTTTTTTTGCATAAAAACCTCATCTAACAACGAGATTAGCCTTTTACCCCAACTATCCCAATCCATTGTATATGTACTCAATTCGCCAGTGCTCCTCAGCACCGATCCATCTGCCCAAGGAGACACATAAGAATAGACGGGCTTAGTTGCAGATCCATTGCACAAATCACTCTGGATCACGTCTGACTTGGGTAACACCTGTTTTCCACCAGCAGGTTGCAATACCTCACATCCACCACTTTGCTCTGGTGGTGC